GTTTTGGATGAAGAGTTGTTGTTATATACAGATCTCTCAAGTTGGCTCCTCAAAGAAGATCACAGCGCCACATGGGCGGCCAAATGCAGCAGACTAATGCTGCGGCTGCGACGGCGCTGTATGACAATGCAGGACCTACAAATGAGGCTGGCGATGCTGTTATGGCACGGTGGCTCCAGTCTGCTGGTTTGCAGCATCTGGCGTCACCTGTTGCTTCTACAGGCATTGATCAGCGCCATCTCCCAAACCTGCTCATGCAGGTACTCTTGCATTAACTTGCATGCTTTTATATGTCTGTTGTCTATGTTGTCTATGTTTGATAGGGTTAGATACCCAGTTCTTAGTTCAATATGTATGTGCAGCTTGTTTTGCTATAGCCTACATATGTATAGAAGTAGGATTGTGTCTATGTCATGGATATTATAATTTTGTAGCAAGTCAATTGGATTCTATTTATGTGATCAGTTATTTGGTAATCTTTCTCTCTTCATTGGGCAACTTCTTAAATATAATAGTTTGTGGGTCATCGTCTGGTGTTTGATATCTGTGGTATTGCATAGGGTTATGGAGCACAAACTGCTGAAGAGAAGCAAAGACTATTCAAATTAATGAGAAATCTTAATTTCAATGGGGAATCGACTTCTGAGCCGTATACACCCACTGGTCAAACATCAGCAGCTTTGCCCTCTTCGGATGGATTTTATTCACCTGAATTCAGAGGTGACTTTGGAGCTGGGTTGCTAGATCTTCACGCAATGGATGACACAGAGCTGCTATCCGAGGTATGTTTGCAAGGGTAAATTAAATTAAAGAAGTTTCTATTTTTGCCTGTTTATAACCAAAATGGTAAAGCTCCATGTCGATTATTAAAACTGTATTTGTCAACATCCCATTACAATCTTGTATCGAATTTTATATTGCCGCACACCTATTGTATTGTTTGGCCCCATATAATCCTCTTTCAGATATATAGATGTAGCGGCTTTTGATATTGATACCTGAATACTGCTGTTAGTCTACATAATCATTATTGTTGTGAATGTGCAAGCAAATCACTAAAACATAGAAGCTATTGCAAATTTAAGGAGATGAGATTGTGCCAGTTAGGCTTTGGTCTGTTGAAAAGTGGTTTTTGGGTGTGTTACGTACATTTTCTTCTGCTAATGATAATGGTTTCATTGATATAGTTATCAATTCATGTTGCAGCATATGATTTCTGAACCCTTTGAGCCATCACCTTTCATGCCTAGTGTCAATCAAGCATTTGAAGAAGAGTTTAATGTGCCAGCTAACCGGAAACAGCTACAAGAGCAGGATGCTGAACCTTCGAGCTCATTTTCCAGGAGTGAAAAAGAAAGTAGTGGAAGAGAGAACAATGTAGCCAAAATTAAAGTGGTGGTATGACATTTGTTTTGATATGTTGCCTACATTGTTATTGCTTGGTTGAAATTTCAAGCAATGGTAGTTGTTATTGAGGAACTATACGTTTTTATATTAATTATTTCAGGTAAGGAAGAGACCCCTAAATAAAAAGGAAACTGCCAAAAAGGAGGACGATATCGTGACTGTATCTAATAATTCTTTGACTGTTCATGAAACCAAGTTGAAGGTTCGTGTGTGTGCTTCATTAAAGATAGCGATGACATCCATGATTCAGTTCACGATGATTAAAGGTCATTGACCCTCTTCATTTTATATTACTTTGTCTGATATTGAATGAAACTTAATCTTTGTTGGTGCAGGTGGATTTGACTGCTTATATGGAAAGGCATGAGTTTTGCTTTGATGCTGTTCTGGATGAGTATGTTTCAAATGACGAGGTAATTTAATATCGTTAAGGAATTGAAGTCTACTGACAATCCTAGCGGGAGGGCTTTATAAGAAATCAACTTTGTGAACTTTAAGTTATAGTGCAACTATCATCCGCTTTTGCTAGTTTAAGTTCTGTGTTAGAGTTTACTCCCTGTTTTTAAAGTTAATTGTTGTTCCTTTGATTAGGTGTATCGGGCCACTATAGAGCCAATTATTCCCACCATTTTCCAGAGAACCAAAGCGACCTGTTTTGCATATGGTCAAACAGGTACATAATGGTACTTTTGTTCATGGGAATTATTTGTTAAGGCGAATCTTATTGTGATAGTTCTATTATCCTTAATGTGTTCCTCTCTAAGATTATCTCTATGGTTTGGTGCCCCTGATAATGTTCTGCTTTAATTAGGTAGCGGTAAGACTTTCACAATGAAACCACTGCCTATACGGGCTGTTCAAGATCTTATGAGGATGTTGAATCAACCAGTATATCGTGATCAGAGGCTTAAGTTGTGGCTCAGTTATTTTGAGATATATGGTGGAAAGTTGTATGATCTTCTCTCCGAGAGAAGGTTAGTGCTCCTTGTTCTCTTCTCATATCTTTTCAAGGTCACATTTGGTGTTATGCGTTCTAATAGATACTTCTCTTTCTCCCAGTCTCCATAATGTTTGTTACTGTTTGTTTGTATGACAAATGTATGTGTACAGTTGGCTGACTAATTCTGTTGTTGTTGCCGAGTAGGAAACTTTGTATGCGAGAAGATGGTAGACAACAAGTTTGCATTGTTGGCCTGCAAGAGTATGAAGTCTCGGATGTTCAAATTGTAAAGGATTTTATTGAAAAAGGGAATGCTTCAAGGAGCACAGGATCAACTGGTGCCAATGAGGAATCATCTAGATCACATGCTATTTTGCAGCTTGTTGTCAAGAAGCATGTGGAGGTAAAAGAAACTAGACGAAGTAATAACGATAGTAATGAATCACGAGGAAAAGTTGTTGGGAAGATTTCTTTCATCGATCTTGCTGGCAGTGAAAGAGGTGCAGACACCACAGACAATGACCGCCAGACAAGGTAAGGTCATGTTTGTTCTCTGGTATAAGAGTTTTGAGTATTGAACTCCCCATTTATCTAGAATCGTTGTTATAATGGGATTGTTTGGCCTCATGTATAATGTTGTCCTACAAAAAATATCCCAATGACACTAGAATTCTACCTTCTTCCTTCAGAACTATATAAACTATTTGCATTTTTGACGCTGGTTTTTTGTAGGATTGAAGGTGCAGAAATCAATAAGAGTCTCTTAGCTCTCAAAGAATGTATCCGTGCACTGGACAATGACCAGCTACATATTCCCTTCCGTGGAAGCAAGCTAACTGAAGTGCTCCGTGACTCATTTGTTGGAAACTCAAGAACTGTGATGATTTCATGCATTTCTCCAAACGAAGGATCATGTGAACATACCCTTAATACATTAAGATACGCCGATCGGTACGTTCTGATGAGCTAAAAACTTTTCTTAAACTAAGTCTCGGTTTCATCTACTTAACTCATGTCTGCAATTTACTGATTCAAACAGGGTTAAAAGTCTATCTAAAAGTGGGAATAGCAAGAAGGATCAAACTTTCAATTTGTTGCCTCCAGCTAATAAGGATGTTTCTTTGGCTTCCTCTCAACTGGCTTCAAATGATGTAGAAGATGTCTTTGAGCCTCCACAAGAACCTAATGTACAGGAGACAGGGAGGAGGGTAGAGAAAGACAGCTACTCTACTTCGGGTATTGAATTCAAGCAGCCTACGCATTACCTTTCTTCATATCCGGTCAACTTTAGAGAGGAAAGTGGCATACCATCGATATCAATGGACAAAGGAAGACCAGATACGAGCAATTCTTTTGGCGGCTCCACTAGTCAAAGGATTCACTCATCTTCTTACTCTCAAGACAGTTCAGATCAGGAAGAAAAAGTGAAGAAGGTATCACCCCCTCGTAGGAAAGTTTCCCGGGAGGAAAAACCTGAAAGAACTCAAAACTGGTCAAAAAGAGATGTCGTCAGTGCATCTGATGTCCCTGCCACGACAAACTCTAGACAGCATAATATTGCTAGCAGTCAGAACACAAGCGAGACAGCTTCAGG